GTGCTGCACCCGTCCCACCCACACCATACCCCCGGTGAACGGCCATGGGGACTGCCCAGATGCGCCCAGCAGGTACAACCACGTACCCAGACCCCACGAGATCCCGCTGCCAGACCCTCCAGAGCTCTAAGGTGGACGTCCAGGCACCGTGGACCCTGCAAAAGCAGCTCCAACGAGGGCAGCAGGGACCATCTGCAAGCGCAGACGTCCCGGCTGGGGACAAGCCCAGCGCTGGTGGGAAGAGCCCCAGGCTCATGCGGCCACACTGGCTGTGCCAGGCCAAGCTCGAGGGGCAGGATCCCTCAACCGAGGGAGCTGAGGCCACCCAGACCAGCTGGCTCCCAGCAAAGAGCCCAGGGCAGGCTGGGCTCACCTGGAGAAGGTACTCGGTCTTCTGCCGGGCATAATTCACGATTTTGGTGGTGATGGTCTGACTAGAGCCCAGCGTGGTGCAGAAGTAGAGGGGCTTCTCCGGCTTGCTAACGGTGGCTTTCAGGTGCAGGTTGTAGTAGCAAGAGCCCAAGTCGCTGCTCTGGAGCACCAGGCGCCCGACGCTCTCACCCACTTTCAGCGGCTGGTACTCAAAGACAAGGTTGGCCTGGGAGGAATGAAGGGAAAAGCTACTAGGTCAGGCAGAGGGGGGGAGGCAGGGTGTGGGACAGGGGAAATCAGTCCCTGGTGTGCTTGTGGCGTGCTGGAAAGGCAGCCCAGCACCCTCCCTCACTCCAGCTCCCTCCCTCTGGGGCAGAGCCCTGCTACACCTGGGGAACCATCCCCCAACAGCCAAGAGCCCTCCAGCACGATCCCACCCTAAAATGCCCCTATACTCCACCACCTCCTATCAATCCAGGCTGCAAACCCCCCGGCCAGTCGGGCGAGGCATGTCCTGCATCCACCCTGAGCCAAAAACACCCATGAGAAACGAGAAGCATGTGGCACAGGGACCTGCCATGGGCATATCCAAGGAGCAGCACGGCAGACTGCCCTGGGCATATTCTCACTGCTTCCCCTCCAGATTATTAGCAGGGGGGAGTGATCACCCTTGGAAAGAAGCCCCAGATGGCTCGCGTCAGGCAGCACCCTTCGAGAGCACCCACGCCCAGAAAGGCTGCGGAGAGGGAGAGGAGAGCGTGCTGGACGACCTTCGCTCCTACCTCCGACTGTGCAGGAACAGTGAAATGCGGGGGAACGCTGACATCGGGCACTTTGCAATCTATGGCAAACGTCACCGGGGCAGGCAGAGGGTTGTCCACCTTGACGGTGGAGGACACTCTCTGCCGAACAGCGGTGGTCATTTCAATGGTGCTGAGGGGTCCCGAAGCAGTGGCCTTGAAAGTCACCATGTAGTACAAGTACTCCTCGGTCACCTCATTAAGGAAAGTCACCTGAATTGAAGGAAAAGGGAAACGCTGGTCATTCTGCACATAAAAATATACCAGCTGTGCTAAGCCAGCCCAAAGAGCCCCCCAGGCTCAGTGTCCGATGTCCCAGAACGGCTGTAAGCTGCCACCTCGGAAGAG